CCTAAAGCTCTGCAGATAAATAGCATTTGTCTGTGACGGACTCGTAAATCGGGCCTGCTTAGCCCAAAGATCTTGTTACTCATAGAGGAGGAAATATCGATTAATAGGTATTTTGGATGATTCACTTCGACCCAACTCAGCGAACTCGGTAAGACTCGAACCTATGATAGCAAGGGGAAGGCCTTAGTACAGCCAACGCCTTGACCATCTGAGCTAAGATGCGTCATCGGGAGCCGTGCGTTTAATCACATTTGGGTCAAGTTCCCCACCCAGCGTACTGAAAAGTCTGGAATCCACCAAATCTGGTCCATTAAGCTGACTGCCCAAGCAGAGCTTCCAAAGTAATCCATCTAGAATCCACCAGGTGACTACCAGACCACGTAACTAATAGATATTTTGGCAGATTTTGAATAATACATCCTGTGAAAATTGTGAAAAACTCGGCGACCTCGGCGGGATTCGGACCCAAGACAGCAAAGGGAAGGCTTTAGTACAGCCAGCGCTCTAGCCATTTGAGCTACGAGGTCCCACTGTGATTAAACTCACGTCTTCCGGTGGGGTCTCGTAGTTCAAGTGGCTAGAGCGTTGGCTGTGACAGGTATGGCTGCGATCGCTCAAAGGGGGAGGGTGCGACGCCCCCTTTAAATGTTCGACTCTGCCTCGCAGCAAAGGTTTGCCGGACGCTAAATTCTCAGTTTCTCATAGTCTTGCTTATAAACGTTTTGAGATAAATGCAAAATCGTGTTTCTCAAGAAGGCTGGACCGTTTTAAAGTACAAACAAAGATTTAGTACCCTTTAATTACAATGGAATATTTCTAGAATTGTCATGCCGCGGACTTACGGGACAGAATGAAAATCTTCCAGACCGTCTTTTCATCACACTTTGTGACTTTTCTGCAGCATAAAATAAGTCACTGTTAAACATGGTAGAAGGTAGAAAAGGAAAAAAGGACTCTGTAGGCTGTGCTATCATTAAGGACTCGAACCCATTTAAAAATTTGAGTTCTGATAAGCTGGAGATATTCCAACTAACCTATCCAAATAAGATGTCGCCCGAATTAAAGAGAGTATGCTGAATAATAAATAATGGGAATAAAGTTAATTTAACACTGGCACGGCAGTGCAAACTGCCCACTTCCTGTTTTAAAAGGGCGTAATTAGGCATAAACTCTCCGCGCACAGCAGACAGTCTGAGAACTGTTTGGCTACATATGCAATAACGGGAGTATAAAATTGAAAAACGAGGTTTTTGAGGTGTTCCCATTGGATCGTGTATTAAAAACTCAGATTACTATAAAGGTGGATGGAAGTTAAATATAAAACATAAATAATACACATATAATATGTATTATATATATTATTATGTATATGTTATATATTATATAAAATATAAAATAAATATTGTCTCTTCAATCTTCACAGGAAGTTTTCGTCTACTTAACCCGGTAAAATTGCGGGAGGCGTAAGAGAGCGGTTGGTCACCAGTAGAAGCAACCATCGAAACATTGCCACAACACTTTACAGATACCACCTACCCGGAAGGTAATAGCCATATGTGGGCAGACTCCAGCGCTCCTACAACAAGGAAACTGATTAGTTTTCAATACGGAGGCCTCAACTAGCAAAGAAGGAATGCTGGAAACCTGTTTTCGGCCGCTGACAACTATTATAATTTCATATCGCGTATTGAGTGCCTGCGAGGCCAATTTGCAAGTAACTTGCCGAATTGATTAGTAAATAACCACATATGTTAGGCGTTAGAGCGATGTCGTTATAAAATCATAAAAAATTGCTATTGGATGAATAACTATAGTTGATATGAAGTAGAACCGATAGCTGGAACAAGAGCCTTATTCGTATGACATTTCGGACTCTCGCTCGAACCCATCATCAGTTGACAATGTCAATAACTATATTGTTAGGTCCAGAAGAGCTGGCAGGAGATAGAAAGGGTGAGACGGTTTTGCTGGAACGTGAAGGCGGTTGTAAATTGCTTGCGGCATCTGGCCATGCAAGTATGGAAAGTTGCCACTGCTCTATCTTTACCAAGGTTTTCATGGGATCAAGGGACAGGACGGCCTAATTAGTAATAAAATGCAGGTGGAAAATTATTTAAAAATCATCTGCATGCAATAGTCGAATTGCCTTTGGGATTGTACATTGGAGGATTTCATGGGGTCTGTGCATTTGAGACACATTGATTATTGATTATCGAGAACCAGCTCGATTTCGTTATATGAGGACTTAACTGATTTACTGGAACTGAGCCCTATGCACAAAACATAACAGTTCAGGGTAAGTACGCCACTATCTTCAAATTCACATTTGACTATTTTGGTTGGCAATTGTGAAATACTTTAAGCCATCAAGCCGATAAATATTAGGACTAAAAGTCAAAACAGCTCTTAATCAACTTAAAATATGCGAAAAAGAAAGCGGTAATGAAGAAAGTGGGTTTTTGCACGCGTCGTATCAGAGTAGAGAGGTGCGCCGAAAGGTTAAGGGTGATCGCAATACTGTCAAATTAATGGCCTTTCTGAGACAGTTTTTGAAATTGAGGACTATCTCTCTGACTAAATGACACAGCTTACAACCTGTACGAGCGCTAGTAGGAAATTGAAAGGATAGTTCTAGGTAGGCAGATAATCTAGACTATGGGAATGCGTGCTCCCTTTAAAGGCACGCCCAGTTATGGCTGATTTGTAAACTAGCGCACCAAAGGGTTCTTTCCGAAGACACCTACTTCATGGTCTCAGTGTACGCAGTGTGCCTTACACTTCCTGGCCAAAAAGTGGTCGCTTCATGTGAGATGTCTGTCGCGTTCCAAAAATTGGATTCTGCCAGACTTTTATCGGGGAGTAGGTTCTTCTGAATGGCGCAACAATGGATCCAAACCCAACTGTATCGTTTATTTCTTCCAGTACTTTCCAGTCAATGCTCAAAGGGTTTTCATCCAACTCTAACGTTTGATGATCACCAGCTTAAATCTAGGAAGTGAAGGGCAAAACAAAACAGCCAGAAGGTACTTTTCTCGTTCCAGGTATTACGTGAATTAAAGGAGTGAGAACAGCAGTAAAGCACAGGGAACACTTGTTGATTTATCCAAGTTTTTGAGCTCACATAGGAATCCACCTCCAAAAATATAAATGGCAACATAACAAAATGACTCTTACAAGAGGTTATAGCTAATCAGCAGACTGTGATACAAGTCCGCATTTAACCTTGAAGAACTCTGAATATTAGCGGGAAGTCGACATG